GCTGGGATTACAGGCGTGAGCCACCAGTGTCCAACTTAATATATTTCTAATTTTAATTAAATTAATGGATTTAGTTTTTAGAGGAGAAATGAGACTCCATTTTGGCAAGGGTGTAATTAGAAACGTTTACTGATGTTATAGTTGGTAGTGGGGAGACACAAACATGTGTAACAGATCTGGAACTGTTTATACAAAGCCGAAGGGGCCCCTTGACCCAGAGCTCTACTTGTAAATATTTGTTTTAAGGAGGAAAGTCAGGTCGAGCCCTCTGCCCCTCCCCCGCGGTGTTGTTTATAAGTGACAATAAGCAAAACAGGCCACCCCTTCCCTCCGGAGCTTATAAAAACTGTGGTCGTGTTTTGCAGAATGACTGCAGTTTTTATTGAAAACATCATTTACCCACAACACAAGCCGCTTTTCTCTTTCAGAGATCCATCTGTGTATAACTAGCCACCTACTATGCACAGACCAAAATACAAATTAAAGTGTGGAAGACAATATGTCAAAATGGATGTTAAAAATGATCTGAGTAGTAGGAGTTAAGGCATTTTTAACCCATGCTTGCTACAACTACAAGTAGCTTTACCCCCTCCCTCCCCCCCCCCCCCCTCCGTCATGGGGCCTGAAATTCTGGGCCTGGGCACTGTCCCTCTTCAATCCAAGGCTAGGGCTCTACCACTTGAGCCACAGCACCACTTTTGGCTTTTTCTGCTTATGTGGTGCTGAGAAATTGAACCCAGGGCCTCATGCATGCAAGGCAAGCACTCTACCACTGAGCCACCTTTCCCAGCCCCTTTAAGTACCTTTGTACAGGACAACTTGAAAGAGGAAACAGATGGAATTCTGGGTTATTTCCAGATTTTCTCCCCTTCTGATCCATGTGATAAATGAACAGCATTGGGATTATTTTTCACAATTATTTATCTATTTTTTAAAAATTCATTGTGGCCCTGGGGTTTGAACTCAGGGCCTTGTGCTCTACTACTTGAGCTGCACACCTAGATGTCACAGTAATTCACATAGGATAGACTTCTTCCTAGAGGAGCAATGTCTGGGCCAGCTGCTGTGGGGTTTGTGGTCTGTCAGCTCAGCTGCCTGGAACGCTAAGAATGGGGGGATCGTGGCTCTAGCCAGCCCAGGCAGAAAAGTTTACGAGAGCCCCTCTCAACCCGTAGCTAGGCAAGGTGGCATAGGACTGCCACCCAGCTATGACAGGGGTGTAGAATAGGTCAGTTAAAGTCCAGGCACGCCCTGAGCAGGAGACAACACCCTGTCTCAAAAATATCTAAGTCAAAAGGTGTTGGAGGGTTGGTTCAGTAGTAGAGCACCTGCCTAGCAATCGTGGGGGCCTGAGTTCAAATCTCAGAACCAAAAAAATTTTTAAAAGAAGTTAAATGCTTAACCATGGAGGATTTGCTGATCAAGTTGTGGGTTGCTGACTTATTCATCACCACGACTGAGACTCAAACACGTTTTCTGAGGGGCTGGGAAGGTGGCTCAGTGGTAGAGCGCTTGCCTTGCATGCCTGAGGCCCTGGGTTCAATTCCTCAGCACCACATAAGCTAAAAGAAAAAAGCCGGAAGTGGCGCTGTGGCTCAAGTGGTAGAGCACTAGCCTTGAGCTGAAGAGCTGAGGGACAGTGCCCAGGCCGAGTTCAGGCCCTACGACCAGACCCCCAAAACAAAAACAAAACAAAAACCATGTTTTCTGAGTACCCACTCTACCTCTGTGTTTCCAGCATTAGTCACTGCTTTGGTCATGCTGGGTTGTCCATGGGAACATGGTGGCACCCCAACTTCCGTGCGCCCCTAGTGGCCAGTGTGTGCCCTGCATGGCGTCTCTGACCCTTCCTTCATCTGTTGGGGGAGGGGCGAGGTCCCTGGGTTCCCTACTGAGCCAATGAGCTCCCAGGTCTTTGAACAGCCGCTGCAGCCAGGTGTCCCCAGAGCAACGAGGCAGTGGGAAGAGCACCCCAGGGCCGGCCTGCAGATCACTTCCATCTGTGTGTGACCCTGCCAGAGACTAGGAAAGGGGGCACTTTGAAGTCCGCAAGGAGAGCATGAAGGAGGAGAGCTCTCCCGCCTTTCATCAAAAATCCATGGTTCCGCTGGCACCAGTTTTTATTCCAGATTGTTCTGTGCTGTCCTGGTTCACAGGAGGCAGCACAGATGGAGGAGAGACCTGGATTCAAGCTCTGGGTCCAGTACCCTTGCTGGGGACACGGGGCGTGCTGTTGCCTCTCCATGCCTCAGTGTCCCTACCTGCAAAGCAGACACGACTTCCAGGCCAGGGAGGCTGGGAGGGCCGAGGTGAGTGAGGCGTGCCAGCTCCTGGTCGTCTACCCTGAGGTCACGCCTCCCTCCACACACACACACACACACACACACACACACTGTGGGTAGCTGGCTGTGGACAGGTATGGCTGAAGCCTGCCTCCTCCTCCTCCTCCCCTCCTCCTCCTCCTCCCTCTCCCTCTCCTCCTCCCTCCTCCTCCTCCTCCCTCCTCCTCCTCCTCCCCTCCTCCTCCTCCCTCCTCCTCCCGCCCCCCTCCTCCTCCTCCTCCCTCCTCCTCCTCCTCCTCCTCCTCCTCCTCCCCCCCTCCTCCTCCTCACTAGCTCTTTTTGCAGGCCTTGCTTCTGTTCCTGAACATTCTTCTCTTCCTCTTTTCTAGTTCCCCTGATGGCTGACCCAGTTAACTCTAGAAAAGTACATGTCTTCTTCCAGTCGTTTCTCTGTTTCTTTTCAAAATCGATGTGGGGGCAAGGGGGAGGGACAAAGAAATGCTGTTCCCCTTGGGAGTATGGCACTGGGGGAGGAGAGCTGCCTGTTTCTCTTGAAAACAAGACCAGAAAGATGTTGGAGCCCAGGCTCTGGAGCCCTGGGAGGCCAGGCCCGAGGCTGCCCACCGCCGCTGCCACCGCCGCCACCTCCACACCTGAGCCGGCCCTCCGCAGCGGGCACGTGGCCAGACACGGCTCTGTCCTTGTGGTGCAGCTGCAAGAAGAAGAAAACCAGCCAGCTCCAGGTCGACTGCCCGCTCTTGAAAAGCACTTGGTTAAAATGAAGCACCAAAGAGCAATTCCAGTCACCATAGAGCTGTGGCAGGAACTTAACCAATGTCCCCAGGGCCGGGCGGACAGGGCTCCATCCCCGTCACCAGCCCTGAAGGACATGCTCCAAGGTCATACAGCTGGGAAAGGGGACAGAAGTCCCAGGCCACCTGAGAAGCGCAGGGATCCTGACCATGCCAGTCAGGGCTCCTGCCAGCAGGAAGTAACCCTGGCCACCGCGACTCAGGTGCTGGCTGCACATTGAAGCATGTGGCTGCCGTGTGTGTGTGTGTGTGTGTGTGTGTGTGTGTGTGTGTGTGCGCGCGCGGTGATTTCCCCAGGGTCATGTGGTGACGTGCCTGTGACTTTGGGTCATTCCCCCCTTCCTGTCCCCATGGCTGCCTTTTCCAGGGACCTCTTCTAGAAGTCACTCCACCCTCCACGGACTTCATTTCCTGAAACTTCATTTCCCCCGAAATGTCTCGTGTCCCAAGTTAGACTCAGGGCGCCGTCCTGGGGTGGGAGGCGGGGTGGGCGATGGGGAGGGAAGGGTGGGAGTGGGGTGGGAGGGGAGGGAGGGGCGGGAGCCGGGGTGGGAGCCATCCTGGGGTGGGCACCGCAGAGTGTCTTCTGGCCTCGGCCCTTGTGAATAGCACTGGGGCAGAGCGGACCGCATCCTCTGCACCTCTGTATCCTCAGGACCAATTCCTAGATGGGAAAGGACTTGGGAAGCCCTCGGCCCACACTTCTGCCCTGGCCTCCCGGATGGCGCTACCATGGCCTTTTTTGCTCAAGAAGAGGCGGGCTCCACATCTGGGATCCAGGGCTTTTTCTCCAGAGGAATGACATGTGCCTGGCTCGGCCTCTCTCCAGCTGGTTCCCAGGCAGCAGGGGGGCCGGCCAGGCTTTGAAGATGAGCCCGGTCCGGAGCAGATTCTTGGCTCGCAGGAGCCCTTGTCTCAGAGCAATGTCATCCGGGAGCTCATTAACGCGAGCCACTTTGGGAATAACAACCCATTTGGCAGATCCCATCGGCCAAGCCAAACGCCCTCCTCCTCTAGCTGTTGTGGGATTCTTTCGTAACTCCCCGTGCCCCCATGGGTTTCCATGACAAAGCTCTGGAAAAGAGGCCATTTCTCCAATTTAGGACACAAATAAGCTCAGTCTTCACCTCCTCCCCCCAAATAACCATTATTTCCTGGCTTCCTGGCGGGGGTGGGGGTGGGGGTGGGGTGGGGTGGGGGTGGGGGTGGGGAGGACCCAGGAGCCACTCCCCACCTGGAAGCCGTATGGCCCTCCTCTGGAGGAACCGAGTTTGACAAGATGGCAGCTTGGGAAACGCATGCGATGCTTTGGCCTCTTCCTCTTCTGTGAAATGGAGACGGTGTGGTTTCCTCCTCTAAGGGACTCTGCCTCTTACTAACGTGTTAGTGAGGCAGAGTTGGCTCCTGGCAAACCTGTCTGCTATTCTTGTACTTAGCTTCATTTCCAAGTGTCCAAAGCAGGGACAGCTGGATGCCGGTGGCTCACGCCTGTCATCCTAGCTACTCAGGAGGCTGAGATCTGAGGATTGTGGTTCAAAGCCAGCCAGGCAAGAAAGTCTACAAGACTCTTATCTCCAATTGACCACCAGAAAACTGGAAGTGGTGCTGTGGCTCAAGTAGTAGAGCGGCAGTCTTGAGCAAAAAAAGTTGCAGGGCAGTGCCCAGGCCAAGGACTGGCACATCCAACGAACAAACAAACAGGGACTGTGTGGTAGAGGAGAGGAGAGGAATCAGGCCTGAACATTTCTACCACAGGAGACCACCAGAGGCCTGACATGGCCACAGACAGAGGTTTCAGCCAGGACATCTGTCATCAGAGGAAATGGTTCCTCTGTGTGTGTGTGGAGTGTATTTCTCCCACTCTCCCAGTGGCTATTTCTCCCCTCAAATAAGAACACATCCCAAGTTCAAGGACAACTTTTTAATCACAATCTACGATTCACAAACACTTCTACTGGGTAAGTGGCCTGGGCTGGAGGCCAGAACTCTCGTGGTGGTTGCAAGCACCCCGAAGACCCGGGGCTGGGAACACCTCCTGGAGGGAGGAGAGCCAGGTCTCAGCTCTACCTCCAGCCAGGGTGTGTCTGGGATAATCCCACAGCTGGAGCAAGGCAGGACCAGGACCTGGCTTGCCATCTGCACCAGCCTCTGATGCCACTGCTGTGCCAGAGCCAGGGTCCCGTCCCTCCCTGCCCTCCCGCGCCTGCCAGAGCCAGGCTGGCAGGCTGCCCGGACCGCCTACACAATGCTCTCGGTGCGCTTGCTCCTCCAGACCACCAGCATGGTCATGAGCAGGGTCACCGTGATGGGGACCACGATGAAGGGGCAGAGGATGGTGCTGGGGGGGTCCCGGACAATCCTGCCCGAGACGGGGCAGCCGCTGAAGTAGCGCTGGTGGATGGCGATAAAGAACTTGTCCACTTCTGCGTTGGGCCAGAAGCGTCCCAGCTTGTCCGCCACGCTCCTGGTGCAGTCAGTGAGGTCCCCGTAGCTCCTGTGGGTGCAAAGGGAGGGGTTGGAAGCCCGGTAGGGCTCTCGGCCCTGAGGTGGTGGCCCCCAATTCGACGTGGAGGGCTCTCCCAAACTCCTGTCCCTAGAGACTCATGGCCACCACCAGTGAGCTAGGAGCCAGGAGCCAGGCTGCCTGCTGCTCCCTGGGCTGGGGGGGGAGGGGGGGAGGGGGGGAGGGGGGAGGGCCCGCTGTGCTTCCTACCTGCCCAAGGGAACCACAGAGTGGCTCTTTCCTGCCAGGCTCCAGGGTCGCTGTGGCAACATCGAAGGCCCAGGGGCCCAGGTCTGAGCAAAACCATGGAGGTTGGGGCCAGGCCGCGCCCAGGATGTTCCAAGAGGGATCCACAGCTGGCAGAGTCACAGAGTCCCCAGGAACCGCCCGAGGTGAGCGCGGGGGCTGCGCTTCCCAGGCTGTCGCGTGTGGAACTGTGCTCTGTGTGTGGCCCTGGGACTGTGACGTTGCCCTGCCCGTGTAACTTAGTTTCTATGCACACCTGTCTGTGGCCTTGTGTGTGTCTCGTTCTGTGTGCCGAGACTGTATTTTCTGTGAGCATGTGTCCCCACATGTGTGACTGTCATTTGCTGCACGTGACCCTCTGGCTGTGTCTCACTTCATAGCCACAGGGCTCACCGCCACCCCCGAACCAGCCCACAATACCTTTGCCCACCTGTGCCGCAGCCAGGCTCAGGGCAAGGCCTGTGTGCATCGGTGGCGTGACCCTGGTGTCCGCGGGGAGTGTGGGTGTGGTGCCGGGTGCTTTGGCCAGTGAGTGCAGGGAAAGGTGCTGTGCTGTCAGGTGATATGATGTCATGCGGTGAGACGTCAGGTGTTATGATGTCACATGGTGTGCTATCAGACGTGTGTCAGATGGTGTGATGTCATGTGTGATTCAGGTGTACTGTGGTGTCAGGTGGTATATCACGTGGTGTGATATTAAGTGTTGTGTCAGATGGTATGATGTCATGTGGTATGATTTTGGTGTGTTGTGATGTCAGGTGGTATGATGTCATGGTGTGATTTCACTGTGCTGAGATGTCAGGTGTTATGGTGTCAGGTGGTCTGATTTTGGTGTGCCATGGTGTCGAGTGGTGTGATGTCACATGGTGTGATTTCGGTGTGCTGTGCTGTCGGGTGGTGTGATTTCGGTGTGCTGTGGTGTTGAGTGGTGTGATTTTGGTGTGGTGTGATTTCGGTGTGCTGTGCTGTCGGGTGGTGTGATTTTGGTGTGCTGTGGTGTTGAGTGGTGTGATTTCACGTGGTGTGATTTCGGTGTGCTGTGCTGTTGGGTGGTGTGATGTCACGTGGTGTGATTTTGGTGTGCTGTGGTGTTGAGTGGTGTGATTTCACGTGGTGTGATTTCGGTGTGCTGTGCTGTCGGGTGGTGTGATTTCAGTGTGCTGTGGTGTTGAGTGGTGTGATTTCACATGGTGTGATTTCGGTGTGCTGTGCTGTCGGGTGGTGATTTCAGTGTGCTGTGGTGTTGAGTGGTGTGATTTCATGTGGTGTGATTTCGGTGTGCTGTGCTGTCGGGTGGTGTGATGTCACGTGGTGTGATTTTGGTATGCTGTGCTGTCGGGTGGTGTGATTTCGGTGTGCTGTGGTGTTGAGTGGTGTGATGTCACATGGTGTGATTTCGGTGTGCTGTGCTGTCGGGTGGTGTGATTTTGGTGTGCTGTGTTGAGTGGTGTGATGTCACGTGGTGTGATTTTGGTGTGCTGTGCTGTCGGGTGCTGTCAGTTGTTGTGTCCGAGGCCATCAGGAGTCCCTGTGGCCCTGAGGCCGCAGTGAGGGTGGCCCACTTGTCTTGGGCCCATCCAGGGACTCTCCCTTGCCCTGGATCCTGAGGGCCACTGGGGAGATGGGCCACTGTCCCCTGGCTCTGAACAGCTTGTGGCCATGTGACTTTCTTTCCAATGAAGCCCACCAAAGCTGTCCCTGACAGACAATGCCCTGGGTCCTTTTCTGGGTCACCGTCCAGGCAGGCAGGGAGATTCAAACCCCCGCTGGAGGAAGGGAAACGGAGGTGTGAGGAGGCCAGGCTCACGAGCCCCAACGTGCCACCTTTGCCCCACCATGCCTTGGTGAATAGCCCGGGGTTGGGCAGAGAAGCCCTTACGGGGTCTGGGCCTCTTCTTGGGCTGCAGACCTCGCATGCGTGCACCTTACCGCCATCCACACTCCACCACAAGACACACCGCAGGCCTGACACCCACACCAGGCTGTGCTGGTCAGGCCTGGGGCTCGGGTTGCAGTGCGGCCTGCCCTGCTCCCTGTTAATGGGGGTTTGGCACCCCTTACCTTCCAGAAGGGAAGGTGGGGGGGGACAGGGGGGAGAGTGACAGGCAACCACAGGGCCCTCCAGGCCACCATCTGGCTTCAGGGCTCACAGCAGCACAGTGTGGACACTCCCTTGTCTGCATCCAAACCCCACACCACACGTCTGTCCTCTGCCCAGTCCCGAAGTGCGTCCAGCCCCACGGGCCGCTGAGTTACTCCAGGACCAGCGAATCCCTTCACCCCTGCTCAGCCACCTGGCCTGCAGCGTGAGGCCCTGGAAGGTGTGTCCTCGGGGCTCACACTCAAGCTCAGCTAGAACTGCGAACCCAGGAAGCCCAGGTCACACAGGGAGAGAGGGGCAGCCTGACGCCACGACCATCTCAACCCAGCTGAGATCACCAGAGGCAACGGGAAACGAGAGGCAGGGGATTGCTGAGAAATAAAGAGACATGAAATGACAGATCCAGGAAACCCAGAAAGCCCTAAATGGGACCAAAGCCAGAGCTACAGTAACAACCAGCTCTGCACCATGCCCACCAACGCCAGCGTGCTGAAAACCCACGATGATGATCTTGAAATCGTTCAGAGAGGAAAGGAGCCCCAAGAGGAGCGGCTGCACACGCCATCACCAACTTCCAGCAGAGTCGAGGTGAGCCGGACACTGGGCCGAAGCTTCACAACTTGAGCCGTCCAGAACCCTACACCCAACAACACAGCCTTCAAATAAGGGGTTAAATAGACCTCTTCTAAAAGGGGCGGGGCTAGGGGAGCTCATTGCCTGTGCTGTAAGAAAGTGAAGCAAGGGCTGGGAAGGTGGCTCAGTGGTAGAGTGCCTGCCTTGCATGCATGAAGCCCTGGGTTCCATTCCTCAGTACCACAAACACAGAAAAAGCCAGAAGTGGTGCTGTGGCTCAAGTGATGGAGTGCTAGCCTTGAGCAAAAGAAGCTCAGGGACAGCGCCCAGGCCTTGAGTTCAAGCCCCAGGACTGGCAAAAAAAAAAAAAATGTGAAGCAAGTCCTTCAGCCCAAAACTGCAACACTTGGGCATTGGTGGCTCACACCTGCTCAGGCTGCCGAGACATGAAGATCATGGTTAGAAGCCAGTGGGGAAGAAAGTCTATGACACGCTGATCTCTAACCACCCAAATTCTAGCTGGCAGGCATAGCTCAGGTGGCAGAGCGCCAGCGTGAGTGAGCTGAGCGGGCTCGGGGCTCTGGCTTCCGGCCATCCCTGCCTGAGGTGCGGCGTGCAGAGACGCCCAGACTCGCCTGCACAGCCAGGTGCTCACAAGTTCTGGTCTGCTCCTGCTGGGCGTGGGGAGGGAGGGAGGCAGGGAGGGGCCTTGGGGAAGGGGTGCAGAGAGAACTAAGCAAACCTGAAACTAGACTTCCAGGGCCTGGATCCCAAGTGGACAGGACTAAGGCCCACTGGGGTGGGCGTCGCCGCTGCCCCTTGACTCGAGGCCAGGGGCCTGTAGACTGTCCACCCCTTCTGTGTGGGGGAAGGGAAGGGGGAGGGGCCCCAATCTGAGGTAGCCCTGGAGAGGCCACCGTCTGGTGGCCTGGCCTTTTTAAGGAGACGCTGATAGGAGTGGGAGAGCCCCATTGCACACAGGAGGCTACCTTGGGGGTCTCTGGGAAGCAGGAACGGGGGCCACCAAGTGTTCCCTGCTACCCCAGAGATAGGCAGACGCAGGAACTCAGCACTCAGACACGAAACTTCCTGTGGGCCTTCTTCCTAAGCCTCTTACAGAGCTATGAAAATAATGAACACTCAGCCAGGCACCAGTGGCTCACACCTGTAATCCTGGCTACTCAGGAGAGAGGCTGAGACCTGGAGGCTAGCAGTTCAGAACCAGTCTGAGTGAAGTCTGTAAGTTTCCATCTCTGGACAGTAAAATGCCAGGCTGGAGGCATGGCTCAAGTGGTAGAGCGTGAGCTGTGCACAAGCAAGCTGAGCAGTGGCTAGGCCTGAGTCCAAGCCCTTACCAATGTGCGTACACACACACACGCACACACACACGCACGCACTCACATACACACGCACGCACTCACACACACACACACATACACACACGCGTGCACATACACACGCACACACACACACGCACGCACTCACACACACACGCACGCGCACACACACATACGCACACACATACACACGCACACACACACACGCACGCGTGCACACACGCACACGCACGCGCGCACACACACACACACGCGCACACACACGCACACACGCGCACACACACGCACTCACACACACACACGCACGCGCACACACACATACGCACACACATACACACGCACACACATACATACACACACGCACGCGCGCACACACACGCGCACACACGCACGCGTGCACACACGCACACGCACTCGCGCACAGACACGCACGTACACACACACACACACACACACACACACACACACGATGCTGCAAACTTGAACACTTCCCAAAGGAAACTTGCTGTGAGGGCCAAGGCTGGGGGGTGGGGGTAGACAGGGAGCCCGGCCGGGGTGCCTCACTGCGTGCCTGGTCTGTACTGAGGCGCAGGCCACGGAAGGCCGTCTAGTCAGTCACGGTTGATGTTTGGCCTCATCTTGAGATTCTTGCAACATGCAGTTTGCAGTTTGCATAGCTGCATCATGGAGCCCCGCTGCTTTCCAGGCACAGAAAGCATACCTCCGTCACCTGT